TTTGGGAACATTCAGCCAAAATTTTTTTAATTCCTTTCTAATGGCTGACATCATTCTTAGAAATCCATTGTTTATCTGACCTTCTCCTAACCTGTTAGAAAAATTTCTGGTGATTTTTTCCTTTCTCAGTTTAATGCTCTGAAGCATTACATGCAAAATTTGGCAGGAGGTAGCTTTCTGTTAGGAAGACACATTGCACCAGCTTGCTAAAACTGTGCTCAAACTTGGCCATGTTCCAAGCACTTGAAAACCCATTTTGCGTGTGCTTGATGGAGTTCTCAGTTTTTCAGCTAAAATTCCCCAGAGATGCCTGAATGGAGCAGATCGTGGTTATTGCCGGCTGCTGGAGGCTGGCAAAGGTAAATGACAAGTGAGAAGCTGGTCTCTTCCACTCTCCCTTTGCCCCTTCCATCACCGAAACAGTCGGAAGGAGAACCTGCCCAAGCAAAGGCAAAACAAGCTAAAGATAGACAGTGGGCTGGAAAAAGGAGGTGGAGGAGATACCATAAAATTTCTGGGACTGGCTATGAGACCATGTTTTCTCAGAAGAGGCCACTGACAAGGAAAGGTTTCTGGGGTCTCCACCAGACCCAGCCCTGCTGTAGCCTGGGAGATGGACAGCCAGGAACCAAGAGCAGCAGGCTGCAGTCTGCCCATTTGTGCTGTTGCAAGAGGCTTTGCTCCTCAGGAATGAAATATTGCTGAGGTTTGGATCCATCTTGCAGTGCTAGGGGGAAATCTGACATCCTGCTGGGATTTGGATGAAAAATTTCTGAAAGCTCAAGGGAATAGTCATATTGTGTGATTACTGCTTCCTGTCTGGCTCCAGTATTGAAGCAGAGGGAAAGAAGGAAGAGTGTTTCTTTGGCCATTGAAAGGTTTTCACCACACCTCTGTGAAGGATTGAGTAGGTGATGCTGGGTAATTACTAAAACAGCAGTTTCCATAAGCAGGCACTAATCTGTGACCTTCATGTCCGGGGTGCCAAACCTGTGATCCTGCGGGGAATTCTGCAGCAGCTGCTTGCAGCCACAGCCTGGAGCTGGGCACGGGTCCTGGACAGCTGTGTGTGACAGCTTCTAGGCTCTTCCTATTAGGTACCAACACTCAGAAGGTCCTTTGGACTTATGTTTCCATTTTCTCCACTGGTGGCACCTTGGAGAGATGCTGTGAGTACAAAAGACTGCCTGCTCCAAACCCACACAGTCTCCAATGACCACTGTGGAAAAGCCCAACTAAAACAACCCTTATGGGCAGGGTGTGAACAACAGGTGACAAAATAGGCTTTGAGGCCAAATACTATCACTAAAACAGGATTAGTAAATGATCATCATCTATACTGTGCACTGAATAGAGGGAGGGTGCTTCAGAAAGGAAAAATAGCACAACATCATAACTAAAGATGAACTTATGGAACATATAGACAAAAAGGCTCAATTAAAATTGTGCAGGCAACTCTTGCATTACCTTACTTCTGGATGCTTCGTTCTGCAATACTAATAAGCTTTTTCTTAAAGCTGTCTTTCTGTTTGTATTGCAGGTTCTCCAGTCAAAGAATGGTGATGTCTGCATGCAATTGCTGTAACTTCACTTGGCTCGCCTCTTAATTGACTGTGCACAGTCAAAGACGTGCACCCAGAACAGCGGGGCTCCAGCTCGCTAAAATTAATATGTATGGATTTGGAGGTTTTTTTCCCTGACTTGAAAACCGCTCAAAATATTACTTGATTGAAAAGAAATGCAAATGGATGTCTTTCATTCTTCAGAAGGATAATTATCCTTTTCTCATTCTCTCACTCAGAAAGAGATTAGTTGTCTATTGTTTCTTTGCTTGCTTTGAAAACTGTTCTTATGAAATTACCTAAGCTATAACACTTGCTCCAGTCTTCTGCAGGAATGGCAGTCCATGCTACTAGCCACAAGTGGAGGAGCTGTCTAGTTTGCAGCCTGAAATGGGTAGAGGAAAAGATCATTCACACAGTGACCTTTGGAAAGGTGTAAATGAGGGGAAATTTGGGGGGCGGGGAGGGGGTAGGTCTGCATATGTACTATTTTTTTCCTTAAGCTGGTTCATTTCTCAGGTTGCAGCTTTGTCACTTTATGTCAAGGCTGAGCCCCAGGAAGAACAGCTGGAGAGTTTCTCCTCTGATGGCCTTTCAGGGCGATGTTCATTAAAAGAAAAATCCACTTCCTGAATTCCAATAAACCATCCTTCTGACAGCCCAGAGGTGAGTGATGGGAGTCCAATAGCCTTTGGCTCTAGCCAAGAGAAGCAAAAAGGAAAGAACCCGGGTGGATATTTTTTAGATGGAGTTTGTAAAGTTGGAGCCCAAAATGAATTGAAACTGAGAGGGTAAGATACTTTTACTAGTGGGGTGACCAGGGAATGTCCACTGTCTCTTTCTTGGGACCACGTTTCCTTGTCATCTGAGTGCATGGCTCATGCAAACTGGTGTGAGAGGAACGCCTTGATCACCTTTTAGCATCCAACCACCTCCTGCTCAGGCCAGTCCAGTGAGTACATGACTGTTACAGCTCTGCCTCCTGAGACCTCGCAGTAGAGCTGTTTGAAATGTGGCAGGTATGTAGAAGCCAATGAACTCCCAAACTACTCTGCAAACATACTTCAGCTCTCATTGGCTCTCCCAAGCTGTACTTGATAAGAGTGCTCTCTGTCCCATTATCCAGGTTGTTAATAAATATGCTAAACTTTGTCAGCCCCATCTAGATACCTAAGGGACGTCACTATCGACCAGCCACCAGCTGGACTCTGTACTCCTGATCTCAACTCTGAGCCCCACGGTCAGAACAATCTTCCACCTACTTTATCATCCAGTCAGTATCTCACTGATTTAGCTACAAGGATACTGTGGGAGGTGGTGTCAAAGGCTTTGCCGAAGTCAAGTTAATAAATGACATGCACTGCTCTCACACTTTGAGGAGGCTGCCCTTGAAGAACCACCAGCTCTCCCGGGCCCCTTTGCTCTCCAGAACCACCCAAGCAGATCCCTGAGCGAGGTGAAATCTGCCCTCCTGAAGGCAAGAGGAGTAATGCTATTTGTCCTGTTGACTTCTTGCAGGATTTAATATTCCAGTCTCATGGTTGCTGCAGGCAAACTTACCCTTGACCATCATGTCCTGGATCAATTCTTTGTTTCTGAACAGCAAACCCAGAGCATCTTCCCTAGTTTTCTCATCGATTGCCTGTGTCAAGAAATTGTCTTCATCAGACTCCGGAAATTGCCTGGATTGTGCCCAATCATATAGCCCTTCCAGCTGAAGCACACCTGCGAGTCCTAAGGCCTGTAACTGTGTGAGATGGTTCCACTGACTTGTTCTCCTTGATCAGCTAGTCTGTAGTGAGTGCCTAGCACAACACTGCCCGTGTTGCTTTGCCACCTTCTTCTTCCCCAGAAGCACTTGACTGGCTCCCATGGCAAAGCTCTGGACACTCCTCTGCATAAAGCACAACCACTCATCACCCTTTCCAGGCTGCCTTTCCTAAAATGCCTATGTCCATCTGTGGCAGCTCTCCTGTCATGTGAACTACCCCACCGTGCCTCTGTAATCCAAAACAAATCACAATTCTGCAGTTGTGTGGGGGCTAGTAATGCCCCCGGTTGTTTCCCATGCTGGGTAGGTTTCCTTACAGATACTTGAGATGAACCCCGAGTCACGATGCTTTCACAAGGGACACGCAGCATCACGCTGTAGAGGCTCTAGTGAGGGGATCTCTGCACTCAGATAATGAGCATTTAGGTGCCTTTTTGGGCAAGGGGCATTTCGAGGCCCTGGCCGCATACCCGAGCTCACTGCACAGTCTTTGCAGGTGCATCACTTTGTAGTCTGAGTTCTCCATCACTGTTGCAGCAATTGCTCCATTAGGAGCTTTTCTCTGATCACACTGAGATCACAGATCAAACTGTGATGGGTTTATTGCTTCTTTTTAGCTAGAACTAACTGTCGTAAGAGTGAGCTTTATTGATCTCCGACGGCAATGATGCCAGGAGCATGTAGCTGTGCTGCTTTAGGAAATAGTTGGAGTATCTCCGTAATTGTGCTTGCATTACTGCTGCCCCAAAGGCTGGAAATTCGAGGCTCCTTGCAATACATGTGCTTTCTTCCTTGTAGCTGAGCTACAAAAATCAAGGTCATCGGGCTGACTGACATTTGGAGTTGGATAAAGATTGTTATTCCCAGAAACATAAATGATTTTTAAAGTCTCAGGTCACTGTTTTAGGCTAATTTCTGTGACAAGTGCATTCTGTAAGGGAAAGCTTGACCTAACCTGAACTTTCTTAAAGGCCAATGGAACAAATCCTCAGCCCTGCAAACAGAAACCTGGATAATCTGTGTTTAGGAGCTGCTTCCCCCTTGACTTGCCTGTACAAGCACAAAGGTGACACCGATTTAAACAAACTCTTTCAAAAATGCCCCACAAGAATGCACCAAGGCTGGATTGCTTGTTGTGAACTGTGATCCCACCTTGGCTGTGGGAGAGCGCACGCAAACACCTGGACCGCACCCAGCCCTGCCCCAGAGGGCACCACTGCAGGACCTGCCACCAGAGGCAGGGACAAAGAGGCCTCTGAGCTCTGGCTCTGGAGGAGGAGAAGAGGAGGGATGACCCCATCACCAATCATCTGTGGCTGAGCTGAGCAGAGGAGATCTGGGTCTGAGCCAAGTCCAACATTTAGAGGCCATCAACCGCAGGGAGGGAGGAGCAGGGAGACATAAAAGGAGAGTGCAGGGAAGATGAAAAAGCAAGGAGAAAAGGGCAGCTGCCTGGGGAAGGAAGGGAGAGGAGAGGAGAGGGGAGG